CAGAGCTCCTGCAACAACCAGAGTTCGGGCTGCTGCGGAGGCTGTTGAGCCGTCGGCGAGGCCCACAGGAGCTGCCGACCCCACCTGCCCCGCCCCTCCCACCGTGCCGGCTCGCAAAGCGAACTGCGTTCTGACGTCCGGGAGCCCGCGGTGTCTCAGCGTCCAAACCCCCCTGACCCCGTCCCCATGTGATTTCCCTCCTGGGGCTCTGAGGGCCTCACGACAGAACCCTGGACCTGTGGAATGTGCAGGGACTGGCACACAGCAGGTGTTCAATACCTGCCCACTGAGTTGTCCTCTGAAGACTCCATAATAAAGCTCCTACCTGCTGAGAACACTTTTTTTCCTACTCCTTTCTTCATTGCGTATTTATTAGCCTTACTTTATGACCTCCTTTACTGCCGCTCACAGGTGGGGAGAAAAAAAACTATTCATGCTGGAAAAAACATGTGGCCTTCTGGTAGTTAAGTGCCTTGGCCTTGATCACCTATCAACCGTCCTAGGTATTCTAGGAATTTTGCGAGGCAAACATCGCCAGGTTTCCCGAATGACTCACCGAGGTGGGTGCTGTTATGCCCGTTTTATAGAAGAGAAACTGAGGTTAAGTCCTCCGTGTCGTCACTAAGGCTTGCATGACGAAGAGGGCTGGACATGTGGTTCCGGGGCCTGCCTGCCACTGCTCTGCTGGGCCCCCCAAGTCTTCCCAGCCCACAGGGGCCCTTCCGGCACCAGGTGCGGGCAGGCGAGGTCTGGATGGGAAACTTCAGGGTCCTTTGGACTTGGGCCAGCTGAGGTTTGTTTGCTGTTGCTTTTTCTTTCCTTGATTGTGACGGAGGATCCTTGGCCCTGGTAGGGGCTTGTGGAGGAAAACTTTCCAAGCTGTGCCTTTCAGGAGGCTGGAATTGCCTCTCCTGTGTAACCCAGGCAGGGTCAGGACCCCCGGACTTCCTGCTCACCGCGGGGTATGACTTGCCATGCTCAGAATGCGTGAACCTCCCTTTCCGGAGGACCTTACAGAGAGAGGAAGCACCAGGAAGAGCCTTCAGCATGGTGTCAGCCGGCTTCAGAGAGGAAGAAATCAGAATGGTGATGATCCGAGTGACAAGATAGCTACTAACTTTGTTCCAGACACACACTGAGGCACCTTCTATATTACGCCACTTAATGTCTCAAAATAGACATCGATTCCTTTCTCTCTGTTTACCTATCGAGGTTCAGGGAGTTTCAGCGATTTGGCTCAGAGCCGTGTAGCTAGCGAATGTTTGAGCCTCCGGCGCTGTGATAGAGGTGAGATTGGAACTGAAGACTTTAGTGCCGAAGTGGATGCTCTCGTGCTCACTGTCACGTTGCACAGGCTGCACGGGGGAGGAGGCGCTCGGCCTCGCGGGGCACACCCAGGCTCGTGGATAATTACAGCCTGGCTTCTCAGCTACTGCGGCATCCAGGATCCAGTGACTGTCCACCCTCACACAGCGTCCACTGAAGGCAGCTACTCCTGGTGTCTCCTCAGAGACAAAGTCAGAGGTCAAGTGACCCCCGTGAAGGAGGCCCCCAAAGGCAGCCTGCCACGCAAGGGCATGGCCCTGCTTCCATCACCGAGAACTGCAGTGCCCCGTGGGAGGGGATTTGTGGGAGCTGTTAGTAAACATGACGCCACCAAGGACTGCCTCCTCCGCACCTGCTGCGAGTGAGGTGTGTTGCGGCAACAGACCCTGGGGTTGGTGGGCTGAGTCAGGAAGGGAGGCAGCCTGACTAGGAACAGACTGGGAAGCTGACCGAGGCCCAGGGGCAGCCCCCTAGCAGGAAGCTGAAGCCAAATATTGGGAAAGAAAGTCACTTAC